TGCTGGGCGCCTCCTAAGAACAAGCATGCACTCGGCCCCGGGCATGACACACTAAGCAGGATACGGTTAGCGTCCCTGTGGCATTCACAGTCTGATGGAACTTTACAAACTAAAGTGGTTTCTTCATCCTCTGAACTTCTGTGGTAATTAGACTATATAATTAATGTGATAATGAATCATGGCGTGCCTTGTAACATCTCTTCTATTGTAGCAAAGTATAATTTGGTCGCTGTGGAACACGCTGTCCCCCAGTGGTGCGGGCTATATGCGGAGACAGCCATGCTGTGCTTCCCTCACCTCCATTTGCTCCTCTGGGGACCCTCACGTGTCTGAGACATGAAAAGTGAAGGATGAGAGACCAAGAATCCTATTCTTTCCTGGAGCCGGACTCTCTATGTGAAAGAGATTTGCATGAGCCCTCTTTATAAGGAATTCAGTGTTCTGGAAAGTTAAAGGTGTGTATTTTGGAGGCTCTAATGTTTTCTAAATAAGCTATGTTTATAATGCCAAATATGATGAAATTAAATAATGTATGTGAAAATGCTTTGTAAAGTGCTATATATACAAACACACACACACACACACACACACACACACACACACACACACGTAATTTTGGTGCTATTTAACTTTCCAAAGGTCTAAGCATTTGCTGCCCAAATAGACTATAAATTCTTTAGGGCAGGAGTCATGTCTTACACTTCTGTTCTCTCTCCCATGACACCTGAGCAAAGAGCCTTTGTTAACAATAGATACGTTTTTGGATGACCACTACACAGTTTTAGTTCTAGAGTCGGTAACTTTGCCTTTCAGAAATACAGTTCTTTATTCTGAAAACCATCAATGTTTATTCTGGATTACTAAGAACAGAAACATCTTTTAAATAATCCTACAGAAGACAGGTTTGTTACTGCCATTCTAAAATCAAAAGGAAAACCAAGTTATTCTTCTGGGCTTCATTCTCTGTAGAAATAGCACTGGAACAAAAATTCAGAGGTAAGAATTTAAGCATGAAGACTCCTACTTAAACCACTGCATCTTTTAATATCTGTAACGGAAATGTACCTGTCACGTCTAGGGAACACACACTCCCTTGAGGAAGGCTAGCATGGGCTTTTCTAATGACCAGATTGTTACCGTATGGGGCGTTAAATGTAAACTGCCACATTAATTCATTCAAAAAGTAAAAATGAATCAGTGTAAGCACAAACATTCCCAGGACACCTTATTCATCGTCTACGTTTGAACAGGATGCACCATCTTTTCATCAAAACCATTTAGGTAAAGACCAAACCAAATCAAACAAAACAACCATTTAGGTTAACACTGGCATAAGGAAAACATGAATTTCTTAAATTTCCTAAACTGAATTTTTATTAATTCCATGTTAATTTGACACTAACATATGATGATTTTAGAAATGAGGTGCTTAAGGCTACCAATATTTTAAATAAAACAACAAAACTCTTTTTCATATGTTATTTTCATGTATAACAGTTTCCTTCTTACTGAGATTTAATAATAACTTATCAAAAGACCACTGAAAAGATCAGAAATCCTGAAGTTACTTTTAGCTTTTAGAATAAAAAGTTGATTTCATTAGTTATCTGACCTTATTCTGTCAGAGCTATCCATTCCTCCTCTCCAAAATTAGTTACGCCGTGGTCAGCTTCAACTAGACATGATTCTCCCACTGGCCCACTAAGTTCAAAGACCTGGCATATGAGAATGGGAATTCTACCTAATTTATGTGTAAGAAGGGGAGTTCCAGCAATGATTGAGGAAACTGAGGACAGGAGTCCCCCATACCTGCAGGAGATAACATTCTAAGACCCCCAGTGCCTGTCTGAACAATACGAACCCTAGATGCACTCTGTTTTTCCCTTTATACACACACCTATGATAAAGTTTAATTGATGAGTGAGGCACAGTAAGAGACCAACAATAACAAATAATAAAATAGAACAATTATAACAATATACTGTGACGAAAGTTATACACATGTGGGCTCTCTCTCTCTCAAGATACCTTATCGTGGGGCACCTGGGTGGCTCAGTGGGTTAAAGCCTCTGCCTTCGGCTCAGGTCATGATCCCAGGATCCTGGGATCGAGCCCCGCATCGGGCTCTCTGCTCACCGGGGAGCCTGCTTCCCCCCCTCTATCTGTTTGCCTCTCTGCCTGCTTGTGATCTCTGTCTGTCAAATAAATAAATTTAGAAAAAAAAAAAAGATATCTTATAGTCACCTTCCTCTTCTTGAGTTGATGGGAGGTGATAAAATGTCTCCGTGATGAGATGAAGTGACAGGAATGACATAGGCATTGTGACCCAACGTTAGGCTACTACTGACCTTCTGACCATACGTCAGAATGAGGCTCACCCACCCCCAGACCACAGCTGACCATGGGTAACTGAAACCACGGAAAGCAAAACTGAGGCAAGGGGGGTGACGGGTAGTGGCAGCAGGGGAACAACAAGGTAATGATAGCATGAAAAAAAGAACGCATAAGGAAAGACAACGTCAGATACTATAGTAGGACACAGCCTAGAGCAGCTCATTTATTCTTGGCCAAACAAATAATAAAAATGCAGACTTTGGGTTAATGACCTTAAAAATCTCACCCTATGTGTTAATGCAGAGAGCGCACAGCGGGCCACCAGCGTTCCCAAGAGTCTGTAACTACACACCAGCAGGTGGAGACTCAGCGTGCGACTATGTGGATTTGTTTTAACTATTAACAAAGAAAAGCATTTCAGAATCTCTTTACCCAAGTATTTGTCAATGGCATTTCTAATTTTAATTACCACTGACCCCTACTTTTACACTTGGTTTCTCAATACAAAAACGACGAGCCATACAAGTCTCCCTGAACTAAGTCAAATGGTTCTAAAGTCAAAATCAAGAACCGAGGAACCATTAAAAAAATTTTTGACCTTTGGTCCGTGAAGGTCGAACACAACTATAGAAGAAAAAGAGGGCCTTCTTTTAACTTACTACCCTCATCAGTAATCCAAAGAACCCTACGATCACATCTGTGGCAGGCTACATAAAAGCCCCTCAAGAGACATCCAAGTCCTAATCCACAGAACCCGCGAAAGTGGTACCTATGTGGTAAAGGGGGCTTCTGTAGATGTGACTGGGAGATGGGGAGATCATCCTGGATTATCCGGGCAGGTTCTATGTAATCACAAGGGTCCTTCCGAGAGGGAAGCAGGAGGATCAGGTTAGGAGTGGGAGACGTGACAATGGGAGCACAAGGCAGAGCACTGTGAAGAAAGGACCAGAACCAAGGGGTACAGGGGCCTCCAGAAACTGAAACCAGCCAGGGATGGACTCTCCAGAGACTCCAGGTGGAACCGGTCCTACCAACAGCTTGATTTTACCCACAGAAGGCTCATTTCGGGGGCTCGCTTTGGCAGCACATACACTAACAGGGTTAGCACAGCCCCTGCCCACGGATGACAGACAAATTTGTAAAGCATTCGGTATTTTTTCACGATGAGCCCTAAGGGATGTACAGAAGTGCTGAATCATGACCTTGTGTACCTGCAACTAATATAACCTTGGACGTTAACTATACTGGGGTTAAAATAAAAAGGCAATAACGTTTAAAAAAAGAAAAAGAAAAAAAACGACTCATTTCAAATTTCCAAACTCTAGAACTGTAAGATAATACACTTGTATTGTTTCCAATACTACATTTGTGGTCATTTGTCACAGCGACAATAGGAAATTAACACAACATTTTATTATACTTTTAAGGACTGTGACGCTTAGACGTTATTACCATTAATTTAATTGAAGCTACGGTGAAAAATTACAAAAGAGGGTCTGAAATTGCCGGGTCTTTCCACACTACCCACTTGTGTGGGAACTGCTAGCATCTAGAGAGCTTTGGAGAATATAAAGCAGACAGAAGGACAAAGGAAAAATGTGGTTTTTATGGAAGATACAGAAAGCATCTAGTTCCCGTCTACTATGCACTGGGCAAACGCAGGACTCAGGGAGCTTACCACTAAGTGAAAGAACCACACAACAGTGCATCTGCCAGCTGAACTTAGATAAATAAAAAGTTCAGTGACATTGCAAGGATGTGAAAGGAGAGCCTGGAAAGAGTTATCTAGACTTATCTACACAAAACAGTCAGTAGAATCACCACCTTGAAAGGGTACACGGAGGTACTCTGACCTGTAATGTAACATACATCTGAACCCTCAACTCCCACCCTTTTAAGGAGGGAAGTCCTTAGAACTGCTTTTAACCTTAACTTTCAAGGCGATTCTATTTTAGCTGTACTTCAATTTTCCATAGGAGACGCCCCTTCCCTTTTTACCTGTGAGACGGGGGACACAGAGCACAATACTGAGACTGTTGGAAAACAAAACTGGTTTCTTTTCATGTTTATACTTTCTGTCTAGCCTGCAGTCACTTTCTTCTATCAATAGGTGGTGAGCTTGTATTGGTTAGGCAAATGCTGATAGTTTACTGAAACTAAAGTAGGAAGAGAGAGAGGCAGTGAAAAGTGTTTTTAGGCACCGTCAGAGGAGCAGACGAGTGAAATCCGAGGACACAAAGAGATCGACTGCCTTTAAACTGACGTGAGATCTGTTCTTCCTAAGTTATCATAAAAGTACAGTCTGTAGCACTGACATAAATCAGCCTCCTCAAGTAAAGCTGGCAGGGTATACAAGCCTACAGTTGTTCTCTCCACTTTATTCTAGACTATTCCTTATTATTTAAAAGGGACTGTCAACCAAACCAAGAGAATTTTAAATATCACCCTTTCCCTTCTTCCTCCCCAGCCTAGTTCTATCCAATACTACATGAAAAAGAATGTAAATGTGTTTTGAAAGTTTATCAATTTTCAAGCCACACACACACACACACCTTTCATTTTCCAATACCTCTTTCTGGATACAAGGGAATAGACAATCCCTTGCTTAAGAACCTTGAAGGAAAAGGTCTTTTGTTCCCATTTCACATCCTCAACACACTTCTCACCTGCTATCTTAATATTCAGGTTGGCATCCAGAAGCAAATTTTCAGCTTTTAGATCACGATGAACAATATTCCGACAGTGACAAAAATAGACGGCTGTCACAATCTGTTTAAACTTCCGACGGGCCTCCTTCTCTGCCATTCTGCCATGGGCCACCAGGTGGTCTGCGGTGAAGAAGAGCACAGTCAGTTCTCAGTTTGCACATGGCCATCGCTTCAAAAGGTGGACTCCAGGAGGGATGCCACGGGGCCACCAGAGGAACAGTTGGGGAAGTGAAACAAACAAATGGCAACACTTAGGGCCCTGGTCTGTATCTACAGAAACCCACCAGCAAGCAGCCCCCAGCCCGTTTTCAGCACACATGAGAGAATGCGTAGGACTACCTATGCTCTACCATAAGAGAAAAGAGTTCCGAGGGTTATGATGGCATTTTTTGGAGAACCATCACATTCAACACCTCCTCTCTCTTATCTCCATTGCGAGAGATTACATACACACAGCAAACATATGCATGAAGATAAGAATCAGCAATATTTCCTGTGCTAAAGGGTGAGTCAAAAAGCAGAGTCACAATAATCAATCATTTTGGGAGAAGAGCAGACAGAAGTTAGTCATTGCTAAGGTGGAAAATGGCTTTATATAGGAGCCCATGTATGCTAATCTCTCTTCTGCTTTCTCAAAGTTTTGCAGATTAACATAAAATGTACTTATTTGGTGACTATACTCTGGAGTGCATAATAATATGCCAGATAAAATCCATCTGCATTTATGTGTTTCTAAAATATTTCTTAAATTGTTATTAGTTTTTATAGACAATAACAGAAAACAAAGGCAAGTTTCTACCACTTTCAGTGAAATGATTTTATTGGCAACGTGGCTAACTAAACTACAGCAAAAGATTTTTCCATGTGATGAGTTTTGTAATACTATAAACCAAGCTATCTTCGATATTTAAAAATGAACTGATAGACCCAGAGCCAATCCCATTAATTACCAATTACCAATATCAATAAAATTAAGTATTTTTTCTAATAATGGCAGTAGGTTTATAGTGAACCAATGAATCCTAAACCCCAGTTCTTCGTCTAACTAATAACATATCAAGATCATAACAGCTGATGGGATTAGAAACACTGGCAATACAGCTAGCTCTACTTAAAAACTTCCTTTCCTTAAACGAACTCATCTAGGTGGGAAAAGAACACATTTGCCATCATAAGAATCCGGAGATAGTGGGAAAGTAAAAAAAAAATCAGATGATAAAAATACGTGTATTGGGGCGCCTGGGTGGCTCAGTGGGTTAAGCCTCTGCCTTCGGCTCAGGTCGTGATCTCAGGGTCCTGGGATCGAGCCCCACATCGGGCTCTCTGCTCAGCAGGGTGCCTCCCTTCCTCTCTCTCTCTGCCTGCCTCTCTGCCTACTTGTGATCTCTGTCTGTCAAATAAATAAATAAAATCTTTAAAAAAAAAATACATGTATTGCTGTTTATCAAGAGTAGTCTCAATAATCTTTACCCAACTGTTCTGGCACCATGGAAATCACTGACAGGACCAGTCGGTTAGATCTCTTCTTCATCACAAAGAGAAAGTCTGGCCAAAGACACATGTACTAGTAGTAACTACCAAGACTGAGGGCTTAGGACAAGAAATGGGGCTAGTGGGTGACGAAGGGGAGCCAAATGACAATCCACCTACATAGCAGATTTTCAAATAATTCAAACTACACTCTGACCACAAAGAGCATACAACTTTGGAGATCAAATCCTACAGCAATCTTAAGAACAACATCTCGTAGGATCACTGAAATTATTAAGAAAGGCCCAGAATTACTGTAATTGTTTGGGTTATCAGCAGCTCCTACACCAGTTTCTTGAAGCATTTTCCTCAAAAACAATCCTTTATTATAGTTGAGGGGACCAATTTAGTAGGAAAAGAGAGAGCGAACAGGAAGTGTTCAGCTTAGAAGTCGAAAGGACTAGAACACCACTTTCTCTAGGAGTTCAGAGGTGGTGACAAACGAGCACACACTCTGGTGTATTTATGCTTCTGGTGAGATCTGTCAAATGAACTTTAAACAACACAAAGTCCCTAACTAGGGACAGTCACTTAATATAAGCTGTTAAAGAACTGGATATCCATCAAACGTGCAACGCTAGGTTTTATTTTGAGATGCCATTCTCCTAACAGTAACTGCACCTTTGACCCTCTATCCCTCTTAACCCAAGGCCTAATTATTCTAATAATATGTTTTAGCTGCTAAACTTCATCTAATTAAAGGGCTTTGAAGAGACAGCTATTCTTGAGAAACATAAAAATAAACCCTTATGAAGGTTTACCATCAGAAGCTCATTTGGCCAAGCCACCCATTAATTAAAATGCCCAAGAGACATTCGTCTGGCAGTAAATACTAATTACCAGAACACATCAAAGAGCTTCTTAAATACAACAGAATGATTAATTTCGTGATTTCCAAAATAAGTGATTTTCTTTTATTAAAAAAAAAAAAACCTCTTTATATTTTCTAAGTACTTTGTTTTCCTAAAATGACTGGAAAGTTCTCAAACTTGCTACAGAGGCCAGGAGCTGGTGGAATGCAGCCTCGTCCTGTTTTATCTCCACAGTGACACGCTGGCTGTCCTTGGACAAATCATTTATACTGCCAATATCCCCACCTCTTGATCTGCTGAACAGAAATAAACCCTGTTACACACTGTGGCCAAAGAAAGGATAGCCTATTTGGGAATAAACTTGTTCTATGATGAAGAGTTAGCCTGTATGATACAACTTTAACTTTCAAAGACATTTAAAAAGCTGTTTTTAAAAAGGCCCACTCAGTATTATACAGAGGATATTCAAGCGTTTGGCTAATAGATCTGAGGTTTGTCAGGATTCAGAGTGCCTGAAGGTAATTATTACATACACCCAGCGTTTCTGTTACATGGTTCTGGTTAAAAGGCATTTGCGATAGCAGCAGCCTGGGGAGAGGAGCTGAAGCTGCACAGTATTTTCCCAAAGACGCCTACAGTATCCCTACAGTTATGAATACAAAGATATACAAATCGCTTTTTGAAAGTGCTGGCTGCAAGCATCAGATCTTGTTTTTCTTAGTGACTGTGTTTGCTGCTCATGTTTTCTCTGCTTCGGGAGCATCGTGCCCCTGTCCCAAGACAGGGCTGTCTTAGCAGCTCCACGTCGTTCAGACTGTTCAAACTCTGCCTTTATTTCTGCCTGTCTCAGGACGGCCGCCACCGCCACCCCACCTCCCATCCCTGGTCGTCTGCTTTCCGAGTAAACCTACGGGGGCTGGTGGGTGTGCCAGGAAGCCGGCAGCCTGCAGCGGTTTCCAGTCCCCCGCTCAAGCTGCCTTTCAGCTGCCCGCGGACAAATGGCTGCTTTATGTTCCTGTGTGCCCTACAGGCAGGCAGCAAAACTTCAGCGAGCTCAGATGCAACATTTAACTTCCAGCAAAGAAACCCAGAGCAGTCGCCCAGCCTGGCCTTAACCCAAAGTCACAGCATTTGAATAAATCCTGGGGTCATTTCAGAAGGCACATGGAAAAAACAGGCTCCTGAACCACTCAAAAGTCAAACTTTCTTTTTTTTTTTTTTAAGATTTTATTTATTTATTTGAGAGAGAGAGTGTGAGAGAGACAGAGCATGAGAGGGGCGAGGGGCAGAGGGAGAAGCAGACTCCCCACTGAGCAGGGAGTCCAATGTGGGACTCAATCCTGGGACTCCTGGATCATGACCTAAGCCAAAGGCAGTTGCTTAACCAATGGAGCCACCCGGAGTCCAAGAGTCAAAGTTTCTTAAAATACATTCTGAATCTTGTTGGGATAAACATCAGTTTCAAGGAATGCTAAAAAATGGTTCTGCCTTCTTCCAGGCAGCCCAGTGAGCTTGTTCTCCTGTATACCGCATAGAAGAATATACATACTATATATCCTATACACTGTATATACCCCACCCTCCATCCCCAACTCCCCCCATGGCAGTCTGGCCCCCGCCCCCGCGCCCAGCCACTCAACAGTCTACACCCTCGATTCACCAACCCCACCACTGGACGGCCCCCTTCACGGATTCAGTACTTATCTACTTAGCTGCCCCTCTACCTCTGGGGCAAACTTCCAAGTTTTTCTCTATCACAGCTCCACTCCAACCATTTCAGCCAAGACAAGGATGAGGGGACGACAGTCAAAGGAGAGAAAATGGGTCTCCTGTTTCAAGCTCTTAGCAAAAGGAAGGAGTCGAGGTTGTCTTTCTCCCTTTGCAATCACCATCCGTCTCTTGGCACCGGACTTCTTTAATCTTTTTTATCGGTTCTTCCTCATGAAACAGGAAAAAGCCAGTGACACCCAGGGATGTATATTCCTTGTGAGTAGAACTCTTAGAAGGGGAGGGAATGAATTCCAAAGTTTAAAAGTATCAGAGTGAGCACATGTATAAAATTTGCTTCAGATGTATAAAATTTGCTTCAGAATTCCCGGCTTGTGATTTTGGCCTAATCCGACTCAGGAAGAAATATTTTGTGGTACATTTAGATTCTGACCTTTCAAAGAGCAAAAACACATATAAGGTGGTCTTAACTTCCCTCGACCAGCTTCACTGGAGTGTCAGAGGCATGCCACTAATGGGATGGGGGGTAGGGAGCCAACACTTCTTAAAATAAGTCACTTTTCCACTCTAAACAGACAGTGTCTCCATTTGTCTGCTAAGTCTACGACTCTAAGTGATCTAAAACACTAGCTGAAAATGAACATATCCTGACAGCAGATCACACAAGAGGGCAGAAACTTTTCATTTTTCATGATAAAGAAACAGCCCAGTCCAGAAACGGGGGAGTGGCCGTGGGCTAAGCTTAGGTGGCTACCTGAGAACACTTCTACCCATTCCAAGCTAATCACAGCTGGCAGCTCTGTGCTTTGCCACTCACGTCTATCATTTCTTCTCTCTACACCCATGGAAACGACTTCCTGTTTATCAAACAAATGCTTCTTTCCAAAAGAGCCAGGGCGAGGCCAAGAGAACTCAGCTGCCTGGAAGAGCAGGTTAACGAGAGAGAGCGCACTCACACGAGTGTCATACCGTCCCTAACCCGTGCAGACCGGTGCACGCCCCAAGCTGCTCCGGATTGGAGGAAGGAGGTTTGCTACTTTGTTTTCCTTG